TGTTGGGCGGCTCAATTGTATTAATTAAATTAGAGGCAGGGGCTTGTGTCTGAGTGTGTGTTGTTACTCTGTCCGTTAGATACGAGCATATGGATCACGTCAGGAAGAATTAGCCTGCTTTGGTCCTCTCGTCGCGTCTCAGAGGAAGCATCACACAGACGATCACACGCATATGCAAATCATTGAACACCCTTATACTTGTCTTATAGATACACATAGAGGGATGTTTTCCATGGGAGTCAATTCAAAGAAAGTCTGCCCGGCTGCAGAGGGACTCCTCTCTTCTTTGTTCTCCTCACTCCACATGCTCCTCTAGCTGCAGCCGGGCTATGGCTTGTGACAGATCCTCCAGCCATGGTGTGTGCTGATTTGCACCATGCACAAGTGTGTGTGTGTGTGTGTGTGTGTGTGTGTGTGTGTGTGTGTGTGAGTGTGTTTTTGTCTACATGCTCCTCTATGCTACCCTCTCCTGTTCCACTTCAGCCCAGATTAGAACGTCCGTCTCCTAAGGGAGAAAAACATATAAAAATAAAGCTTTTCACCAGAATGCTGATCTAAACACACACACGCATGCATGCATACACACACACACACGCATGCATGCATGCATGCACACACACACACACACACACACACGGCAACAACAGCATCCCCAAGACGCACATACGGTGCATCTGCATTATGAAAGCCTTCGGAGAGTGGGGCAAAGAGCCCTTTTGAAGAAGAATCCTAAAAAGCCCTTTTAGTAGACAGCCACAGCAGAGATAGTTGGATAGATAGACAGACAGATACATAAATAAACAGATGAATACATAGCATGCCAACTTTATACATTGTTTATAAGTTGTATAACACAAAATATTAATAGACCTAATAGATCAGTAGAAGCCATTATCTAAAACAACTTTTGAGCTGGCATGTTGTGAAATATCCCTGTGGCTGTTGTTTATCCATAACCTGATTTTTGACTGTTTAACAGAGCGCTTTAATAAAATCACCTTCAATTTCACCACTTACCTTCTGCAGTCTACAGCCGTGCTAGCAGCTCTGTGAGGCTGCAGGTTAAATGCTAACATCAAAGTGTTTATCATGCTCATAATGACAACTTTAACCTGCTGAGAATAAAGTGATACAATCTGTAACATATTCACGTTTAGCCAATTAGCATGCTATTATTTGCTAATTACCACTAAACTCAAAGTATAGTACATGATGATGGGAATTGAGTTTCTTTGCAGGTTTTGGTCTTAAACTTTATGGTGCAAGATGGAACATTAATAAATTGCCAGAGTTGTTATAATTCATCCTGAGGGGAACATGAATGTTAAATACCAAAGATTATGGGAATAAATCCAATAGTCACTAAAACATGTGTCAGCCTCATGTTGGTGCACGAAGAAGAGTCAGAAGATCATCAAAGTCTGTAAGATTCCTCATGTGGGGATCATTGATGTCTGTTTTTTCAATTTTAAGGTAATCCTTCAAATAATTGCTGGGATATACTTCAGTGTACAACGACCATCACGTTACCTCACAGAGCCATGCCGCTCGAGTGTCCAGACCAAAATCCCTTCATTAACAATGTATAAACTCAATTTATTAACTCAAGACATGATAGCTTATTAGAAAGTAAGAAAACTCTAAATTAGAGACTTTCTAATGAGACATTAGGTTTTCAGTTATGTTATCATTCATTTAGGGAACTTTGGAGTTGAAAGTTAATTTCCTTGGATCTTAGGAATTTGGTTGTCTGACCAAATAAACTTGAGTCACAGTCTGGTGTGTGCCGTCCTACATAACTTGTTTGATTTTTAAGTCAATTGATCATCTTTAATTACATTTTTAGCATTCTTGACAACTTTCAGCACTGACTTTTCTTCTAGCAGAAAGTTGGAAAAGATGATTGATACCACGCTGGTATTAGCAGGGCCGGCCCTAGACTTTTGGGGGCCCCCCTCACTCTAGCGCGTTCTCACTACACACAACACGGAACCAACTTTTTTCTTAAGATGTTAGCATAAGCACAGATATTGTATAAATAAGCATGTAAACACCGTGGACCTAACCTCCTCTAGGGGAGTCCGGGGGCATGCTCCCCCGGGAAGATTTTTTTTTAAATATTGAAGTTAAAAGCATCAATCTGGTGCACTTTGAGAGCAAAATTAAGAGATCATCTCTCAACACCCATATTAAACAACTGTAAACAGATTTTTCTTTATGGATATTTTACAAATCACTCCCCTTTTAAACTGTATTATTGTTTTGTCATATAGTATTTCATAACGGTTTTTCATTTATTCTCTCTGGCTGTCCATCTCATAATGTTCACATAGAAACTGTCAATAGGAATATCATTCAGAAGAATTATAATTTCTTGCAAAGATCTGTCACAAAAAGAGGTTGCACATTTAAATTCAGGTGTTGTTATGGCAACGTCAGTGGCCAAACAGCCACATTTACTGCTGCAAATACGTTCAAACATGCTGTCGACACGTAAAGCAGTGGCAACTATGCCACCATTTCAGCTGACTTTTTCTCAGAAATACTGTCACATAACATCCATATATTTCAGTGCTAGGTTGATGCTTAGCTAAGCTAACTATGAAACACTTTAACTGACAGGACTCAGGATCAACTGTGTACTGTAAGGCAGGGGCGGACTGGGAGGAAAAAGTGGCCCGGGGATTAATTGACAGACAGGCCCACTTAATGCGCGACATGTATCGGCCAGCCGGCAATGAAAGTATGTGACTTAAAAAAAAACCTATGCATTTAATGTTATTTTGGACCATTATTCCTATAGTAATCACATAACCTGAACCCTTGAGTTGGGCCTATTTTGAGCAAAATAAGTTACAGCATATATTTTAATGATTTTTAATGTTAACAGATCCTTGATGCAATAACATTTTTGTTGACCCAATTTGCCTGACTTGATTGCATGTAATAAAACCACATAGGCGTGGGAAGGCATCCTTTCAATGTGTGGGTGAG